GTGAAGCACTCATTAAAGTGACTGGAAATTACTGGGAGCTTGTAAAGCTCTGGAGAAATTGTACAGCAAGAGCCTCAGAGCATATAAAAGCTCAGATGAAAACTAGTTAAACTCATTAACTAAATATAGTCTTGCCTAGCACATGATCTTAAAACCCTGGATCAGCAGTGAGTTAAATGCATTTGAATATCCAGACACAAGGATAGAAGCTATTCTAGGAAGGAGTTTCACAGACGCGAGGTTAACCTGCGTTCCGAACACTTTTAAGTTAACTTGTCCCATAACTTCATCCATTCACTTTCAGAAACATCCTTATTGCTCTGAATCCTCTCTTGTAATGTCCTTTTTAAAGTGCCCTAAAAGTTGTCTCGCCAATGCCGTACAAGGCAAAGGTGAACCATTACATACTACTACTCATTACTAATTGTTTGTTTAGAGTTGGTACTAACTCTTGTAACATTGTGAAGTTGAGTTCCACATTGAGACTTCAGCTCCCCAGCTCGGCTGAGACTGCAGTGCAGGAGCACAGGAGGTTGAAGGAGCTGCTTCTTTTTCAGGTTAAAAGTTAAACCAAGCTGGAATTTAGTGTCCCTATTTTCAGATTTTTCTATTGCCAAGCCAATTTCCTTCTGCCATCACGCAAAAATAGATTTTTAATTGAAGAAACTTTAATTTGCAACAAAAAAGTACAGTGGAAATGTTTGTTACAAATGATCAAATCCTAATCCAAAGGAATTGAGTAACAAAGAAAGCCTCTTCAGCCTTGAAAAGTGACATCTTAGAAATGACTATAAATGTATATGCAATGTGATCAAGAAAGTAAACTCTGAACAACGCTTTCAGATACACCGAGGCAGCAGAACAAGAGGGCAGTTTCAGGGTTGTAAAAAAAAACTAATTTCAGGATAGAATAGTAGAAGTTTTTTTTTAACCTGAAGGTAATTATTGTCCAAAATGTGTTCAGCAGGATATGGTTGAGGCTAGAACGCTGAATGTATTTAAGAAAAAGCTTGATGCTATAGTGGAGGGAAATAGAGTGGACATTCTGGAAGAATGAGATCAAATGGGATGAAGGTCTTTCTTCGTCTGAATCTCTTTTGTGAATAGAGAAGAATGTAGTACTGTATATTGTAAATTAAACTGGAATCCTTTTCCATACCGGATACTACATTTGCTCAGTTCAACACTGTATTTGTGAAAAACGTTGGTGGAAGAGACACAATCACACGCAGGGCTTAAGAAGATCTAACTGATCTTATTTCAGTATATTATAATTGGATAAGAAATTACCTGGAAATCTAGACTAGTTTGAAAGCCTCTAAAGAAGGTGACAACATAATGCACTGGGTTGTCTTAGGAAAATGTAAAAGTGCTTGTGTAAATTTGCACAATGTAATTATGAGATAAATGCTGCTGATCAAAACATTTCAAATAACTGAGGCTATATTAAATTTTAATTTCTGAACACAAGTTTCGGTTAACCCCCTTCGGAAGATAGCAGCCGGGGGGGGGGAGGGGTGGGGGTGCGGAGGAAGAGAGGGAAAGAGTTCTAGTAAAATTTGAGTTAACAGTCTGAGATACAAACAATGATGTACCCACTGCTGGCTTGTCTTTCTCTGCTTCCCCTGACTTCTTTAAAAGCCTCATTCGCAGGATATCAAATGCCTACTGGAAATTGAGAGGCAAGCATTTTGTATGCAACTGGAAAACTGCTATGGTGCCCACTACATCTGTTTTCAACTTCCAATAATACTCGGAATTTGAAGTTTTTACTGGAGGATTCATAAGTTTTACTATCCAAAATAAATTTTGCTGGAGACTTAGGAGAAACCTTTAAAACTGGCATTAAGATCTAATTTCTGGCTGTAAAAACACAGCTTGATCTTTCAGACAGTGAAATTGTATTTGTCAGATTAAAAAAAATAAAAACTAACAAATTATTTCATTACAAAGCTGCTATTATGAGGGCCAATTGTATTTTCCCCTCATTAAAGCACATTGAAAGACTGGGGATGTTGGGCACAGAATGCTGTGTAACATACTCTATTCCGACCATTAATCATCCGATTTAGCAAGAGTGGGAGTATGTTTTGTTGGTGTCCTAGTCAATATTATTACTTGGCATTATAGTAGAGATTTGTGTAGCAGAATCAGTATAACATTCAGAAACTTCTGATGGTTAAAGTCGAGATATTGGACCACTCGATCAGAGATATTGCTCTGAATGTAACTGACAAAGGCTTGGTGTATTATAAGCTGATTTATTTCCAGTGCACCTTTACCAGCTCAAAACTGAAACGTATGGGTATAATTTACACAATGTGTTACCTGTGAAATATTCACCTAAGGAACAAAAAAGTCTCCCCCCCCCATAGGTTAAGCAATAGATCAAAACACTCCAAGTTACACATCTTACATTTTATTTCGACACTACTAGTAAGAGCCTATGATGCAAATTCTTTTGTTTGTATGTTACTCAATAGCACAGCAATCTTAAAATTCCTTACAAAAAAATTTAAAATACAAAATGTACATGAAATTACAATACAAGGCTCTGTAAACATCTGCAAAACAGCTGACTTAGCCTGTAGTAGTTTTGCTTCTACAAAACGTACAATTGTTGAACAAATCTGACCGTTAGGAATGACGTCTATTTTGAGTATCAAAAATAGAGTTTTAAAGCAAGTGTTCACACCAGCAAGTAAGTTTTTATTCTTTGGTTAAAAAAAGGATGGCAGTTCCATTGACACAGTAATGTTTTCCAAAGGATGAACATAATTGCACTGAAGACAGTTTTCAGTTCCAAATTCACAATCCTATTCCATCCTTTTTGTAACTAACATGACTAGAATCCAGTACCCTTAATGTAGAATTTTAATTTACCAATGCGACCACAGCTCACTTGTAGTTTACAGGATTGTTTGTAGCATTTGAACAAAATGAGTTAAGGCTTACTACAGCTTTCCAAACATTTTACACATAGGGAAACTGTTTTCTTTTATATTTACATGTCAGAGGAGCACAGAGGTACACAATTTTTGTTTCATGAATACCAACAGGTCATCGACCCAATGTGCTGTTTACAAAACTGAATTTGCATAGCCTATTAGTCTGTGCTTTTGCAACATTAAAAAGTCATTTTTCTACACTCCTATGAAATAAAGCAACAAATGCAGTTCTATTAAGACCATTGTACTTAATCTTTGACAAAGCAGATACATAGAAGACTGGTTATCTACAGCTATAACTTTTTAGGATTTTAGTTTAACGGTGCTAACTCTACATCTTCAGGCTTCAAGGTAATTTTAAAGGCATCAGGAGGTTCAGTGCATAGCATAATCTGGGGATTGTACAGGCAACCATACTCTAGTACAGTACAGTCTGACCAGTCACGCAGAGGATTTGTAAAGAAAACTCAGATGGTGTACAAGTCATCAAACTGCACATGCTAGAATATCAAAAGTAAAAAGCTAAGGCAGGAAAACAGTCCAAACCTTCATTACATTTGTTAATGCAATAAGTGCTACTCATACAGCATTGTGAAATAAAACATACTGAACATTGTGGTACTGGTTCAGTGAAGGGAGATGTCAGCAACTGAACCTTTCCCACTGAGTATAGATTATCTTCCATTAAGAACGATACTCATCTTAGAGCTTCTTTTCTGCAGACAGCAGTGGCATTATAAGGTTCCCCTGCTCAATTAACCATTGTGTGTTTTGATTTGAGTAATGGATTTACTGCTATCTAAGAAGCAATCTAATTATAAGTTGGCAATTAAAAGGCAGGCTTCAAATACAAAAAATCATTAAAGCGAAAAAGTAATGACTCCCAATTAATTATGAATAGAACTTTTGACTGGTTCTATTGTGCTCAATTTTATGGTGGGGTAAAACTAAATCTTATCAGATTTCCTACACAGTAGTCTTAGTGTATCACGTAGATGGATTTCTGAAACCACAAGCAGATTTGTTAGCAATACAAGCAAAACAATTTCTATTATTCTTAAAAAAAAGCCAGCTTTGTTTCACCTTTCTGCATATTTTACATCATCCCTTGCCTTGCCCATAAACTGCATACATGATCAGCAGTAACTTTTGCTTGGTGTGTGCTTTCTATATGAAAAAGATGATTGCTGGCCCCAACAGTGAACCATTTGAATTTCTTTCAACGTTAATTGTATCCAATGTTAAATTAAGAAGGCTGCTTGGTAAAATGATGAGTTGCACAATTTCATTGGGATAAAAAAATGGGTATTCTGCACATTTATTATGCTTCTCAATCACATCAGATATTTCTACTTTTCTAAAAGCAACTCATTTAGATGAAGATAAAATCTTTGTCGTGTGGACGTAAACCACACAATCCTGTCCATGATAAATACCACTGCTGTGTGAATGAAGCATCTTCTTTTTTTTAAATCGCCTTTCTCCAACCCCCAAAAATCTTGTACACAACTGGTTTGTGTTTTTCCTTGTAGGGACTGCTTGATGTCAGCCAGTGGAGATTTCATGCATTACTTAGCTATTGCAAATGACCAAAACACTTCAAAAGGACTTAATCCTCTGCAATCCATAGTCTTTAACTTATTATATTTTAATGGCTTCAACTTAAATTCTGTACAAGCTAAAACTTACTTATTTCAAAACCCCTATTATAAAATACAGCAATTCTATGAAAGCTTCTGAAAAATTCTAAAAGCTAAATTAGTAAGGCGCTTGCAATTGTGCGAACTCGAAGTACAGAGAAACTCATCTACAAAGTTAAAAAATTCCTTGAATTTGGAATGTTGTCTTTCCTTCCCCCACTCCCCCCCCACCTCAACATATTTCCACAATGGAATGGTCTGTTCAGAATCTGCAAGATACCATTTAAGTTTAGAAACAAGTGCGGCTCTACATTTGGCTTTGCTTCCTTTTAACTGGCAGAATTCTTAGTAATTTTACAGAATTTTGCCCACAAATTCACTTTATGGTATATTCGGTGAAGCGCTTTGAGACGTCTCAAAGACGTGAAAAGCGCTGTATCAAAATGCAAGGATTATTATAGAATGGCTTCCATGACACTGGCTACACCAGACAGGTTTTCTTTACTGGAAGTTTTAACTTTCAAGAAAACTTCTGCAGCCTACAAGCCTAAAGCTCTTCAGAATGACAAAAATGCAGAATAAGTCACTATTCAGCATTTTATTTACCCTCTTATTACCACATTATAGACCTTAATATGCCCTTCCCTCTTAGCTTAACATTTTCATTATTTATTATAGTACAACAGATAGAAAGAAATCACCTTATTCTTGACAACACTCTTCCCATATACAGTATGCTACTTAATCTATTGAAAGAGCTATCTCACTCAACTATTTTCTAAAGTAGACTAAAGTCACTTCTATGTTGCTTGAGTGTTTCTGCCCACTGTAAATGTATACAAACAACCAGAGTGCACATTTGTAGAACATTTCTATGCGAGATTGAACCAGGTTCAGTGCAGAACTGCAGCAACCAATGTTAGAGCTCTGCAAGGATCCACTGTTCCAGTTTATAAAAGGCCACAATATTGGAAGCACAACTTTTTTTTGGGGGGGTGGGCAGGGGGAGGGAGAAAAGGACGATGTTGGGTATCATTCCGATGAAGACCTGCAAAATAAAGAAATGTACGATGTTTGTAGTTGCTATCAGAGTCCTTCGGGCATCCCACTGTCCAGAGTTCCTGGGCAGGCACATTGTGACTGGGCATGCACTGCTGTTCCATGAGAGCCTGGGATCTGTGACATGTCTCTTCCTATAATTTCATTCACTGGGGAGAAAAATAGAAAATATTAGGACAGATCTAAATTAAACAAAGACAGAAACTGTTCAAATCTATATATTTCTACAACTGTTAAGTCAACTAAAACCTACTGATGTTTTAGACCAGTGATGGCTTTTTTTAAGTCAGCCAGATGCAGTGATGGGTTTCTGCAAGTGCCAGACACCCAGCTGACCCACAAATCAGTGATGACCAACTCATGGCCCATCAAGAAGTGGTCTGTCAAACATTTAAATCAATGTTTTGTTTCCAGTTGTTTCTTGATTGGATCTTTCTTGATTTATGCTATAAATCAAGAATGTTTATTTTGTTGGCTGACCAAAAAGGTTAGCCACCACCACTTACACAGCTGTTGAAATGTTCAACAGCTATTCCGAATTAAATAAAGTACTGTGTTTCGTAATTCAAAAGGGGCAGTGTAATAAAGATTTTTTTATAGTTAAATGTTTAAACCTGGTTCCCTGATCACATCATGGAGGAATTACTGCTTCCAAAAAACGATCTGAATTATCAACATTAAAGGATGCTTCAGCTCTACGCATTATAATTCAGCTAATGAACCTATTCACTCATTAACTCCTCCAAATCATTCTACCCAATGTCAACATCAATCATTTTTTTTGAACAACCTAATGAACATTTTTTTTTTACAAATTCACGTTTAACAAAATGTAGTTGTCCTTGCTATTTTTAAAAAAAACATCGACTCCTCAATTGAATATTATAAACATAATCTACAATTGTTACAAGATGACAAAAAAAAGTTTGGTCCTTCCGGATGACTGCTATAAGTGAAAGATTTGTGTTATTTAAAGTTAGCTGATTGCACGCCCAGTTCCTGTTGATGGTTATGAGAAACCTTGAAATGCTTCTGATAGGGTTACAGATTGAGATCGATTTCTAGAATCAATGATTCCCCTAAATATACACAGTCAGACACTTTACAGTAAATTCTGGAAATAACTTTAAGACGTTTCAACAATGTATTAAGAAGGCACTAGAATCAAATGCAAGGATTATAATTCTAAGTGGATGAAAACAAATCAAGGTTTAAAGATTTTGGTCACCAAGGCCATCATAAGTTATAAAAAAAATGTAGTTTCGAGAGAATTGTTAGGTTGAATTTTATACAATTTAATCAAGAATCAACCTAGATTCTCTGTCTATCCTGAGTTAGCTCATTTCAGTTGTGATACAACAAATAACCTTAACATCCTTAGATTAAGGAGGAAATAAAACCAGGATCCCCACTTATGATTATATTATATCTATATATCTAGAAGACGTGAAAAGCGCTATATCAAATGCAAGAATTATTATTATAATCTTGCCAGAAAGTGGGTAAAAACATAATTGGGGCTCAACTGTGATGCCCAACATTGTAAAGTAGAACAACATTTAGGCTTTCATAGTGGTTATTTTTTGAGGTCCTATTATTTTATCCAAATAGGGTTTATGGATTACCCTACGAATAATGTGTTTTCCTCTCAAAGGAAATCTGTTACCTGGCTCCAGTCTGTACTCAGGAAACCATGCCCAGCAAGAGACAGTGTCGGTGGTGGTGGGGGGTGGGAATGAGGGGTCATGCTTGTCTTGTTTCGTTGAGGGAACCATAAAAACTGTTGGCAGTACTCAGCTACAATTTGTGTTATCTCATAATCTGCTATATTAATGTAGAACATGCTGGTACATTCATTATGAACAAAACAAGAGTGGAATATTTGCTATTGGAGTTAAAAATAGCTGGCTGACTCAGACCAGAGCACAATGAGGTCTCTACATTTGCTAGGCTTATGATAAATAATATAACACTCATCGTTTCTTTGTGAACCTGCCATAATTGTTGCTAACACTATTCAAACTAATGGATTTTACTATGAAGCAGTGGATTAATGTACTGTAGAGCAGTGGTTTGTACCCATGATTTTCCAAACAGGTTTATAGTTATGCTCCAAGAATGGATACTGTGTCAAGGTCAAGAGAAGTCAGTGTTATTTGAATATCTGGAATTAAAAGTTGAGCTTTATTGCGATCAATTTCAGTACTTCAACGAAATTCACTGTTATAGTAAGATGATAGAAACTAAGATAAGAACAGATAGGCAGCATGCCCTTTGGGCCTCAATAAAACATGCTTTGAACACATTTCATTAAGACTAGTGGTTAAATATTAATCATATCATGTTTTGCAGACAAAGTCGAGAAGAATACCTAGACAGTTCTAAAGATGACAAAAGCACACCCTGCACCACCCTGTGTGACAAATGCAAACTTGGGTATACAATCGGAATTTGTACTTGTAGATCACTGGAATGATAGGATCAGAGACATTTGGAATAGTCTACATGAACATACCTAATATGGGCCTAGAATTAGTAATCCTGCAATTTATGAGCCCCCCTCACCCACCTTACTTCAGCAACAAAGTGCTTCCATGGTAGTACTGTTCATTCTGTTGTGCATTTGTAACATTTCATGCAGAAAGACCACCTAATGAAATGTGGTAGCCATTGTGATGACTAATTAGTCGATGGGGGCAGGGTAGTCCGAGCTAAACAAGCAGCTTGCCAAACAATGGCAAGCTATTCGGTTTTAATTGAATAAGCTGCAGCAATACACCAATGCACACTCTGGAGTCCTCAAGCCTTGGCTATCTCCAATCAGTAGCTAATGCTTTCTGGAAGTGGGTACGCAGGGTGCATCCCTCCAGGGAGAAAGTACACCTTCTATTCTGGACACAGACATTTCCATGAATAGTTAACATACATATGTGAAACTGTGCCTGGTTCTACCCTTAAGCATGCTGATGGGTTTGTGTGTGTGTGTGTGTCAGACACCCAGCTAATCATAAAAATTGTAGGAAATGGTTTAAGATTTGCATTAATCGTTCCCAGTGTCGCAACTACCTATGCTCCTTGTGCCAACTTTGTGGGTGGATGAGTCTGATGATTGGGCTCTTCTTGAATTGTTGAGTGGGACATGCGATTTGTTCAAATAAATGCCATATAATAGGTTACATTTGGATAGTCCTCAAAAGGTGAATGACACTAAACAAACTATCTGCATTTCAGAATGTTGTTGGGTCATTTAGGTTGCAAACTCAAATTTGGTTGATTAACAATCTCTTTCACTCTTTATATACAGGGTGTTGAAACACCTGCTTCTTGATTCCATTGTAGGTTCTTTCAACTGATTGACGACAGCTAGAAATGCAAAACAGTCACTCAAGTAGCTTGTTAGCTGCAATAGTCTTGAGTATTTGGGTAAAAATACAGCCATATTCCCTAAAGATGAAAACTTTTAATATTCATATGTTTAATTTGCTCAATAGCAACACACTTGCACTGATGGGGAAAACACTAGAGAGCTTGCTACTTGCCACTAACACCATCCTTTTAAATTAAATGTTTAATCTACAGAGGAAATAAACCACAATTGTGCTGCAATTTCTTAAAATGAGCTCATCTGCCTTAAGTCAAGGTGCTGTGATAAAGCAAAAATAGGTACCCATTGTTTTGACTGTGAAAGTTTACCTTTAATGTGCTGTTATGGTTTAAACAAAGGCAAAAATATGCAATGAAATTCTGATGATGACTATTACTTTGTGTATAGTTACAAAAGGCTTTTTGCACCACTAAGTCTGTGGGCTTAGCTTTCATCTGCCGTACCACATGTCCAAGTGCCCCCTCCCCCAAATAAAATAGTTCTCTAACTTGCCATCCCATTTAAAGTCCTAAAATGCATACTTTTATTTTCATAAATTTGCTTTCATAGTAAATACTCCCATCTGGTTTCTACAGAGCTGTGAAGCAAAACATTCTAATTTAACTAGTGTAAAACTCAATGCATCTCTTGCCAATTTTATCAGCCCTTACTTGGGCGAGTAATTGACTACTTCCCTGTACGTGAGAGTGAATCTTGGGGGAAATTACATTAAGCTCTATAGAGGTGGAAATTACACAATGGCTTTGAAGTAAAAATCTGTGGTTGCAAAGTCATGGTGTTGTCCAAAAGTTCAAAGCTTTCTTTCAATAACAGGTGATGGAAACTCAGCAATAGTAAATCACATGCACAGGGGCAAAGAAAGGGGAGAACTCATTTCTCATAATTTACCCGTACTAAAGAGAAATAGGACAATTTAGAATAAATTATGGCTACATAAATTTGAATTTATATGCTGGAGAGTGCATGCAAAATTGAAAACAGTTTTTTTACATTTCATACTGGGTGTCAGCCTGGCTTAGTAGGTAGCACTGTTACCCCCTGAGACAGAAGATATGGGTTCAAGCTCCAAGTTGGGACTTCAAGTTCGGCTGGTGCACCCAGGTAGTGTTGAGGGAATGCTGCATTGTGAGAGGCGTCATTCTGTTAAGTTGTGTTAAGATTCCATGGCACTATTTGAAAAGAAGAGTTTCTCCAAGTATCCTAGCCAAAAATCCTCCAAAATAAAAAATAAACTGATCATTCACTTCATGAGAGTGCTGTGTACAAATTGCTGCCACATTTGCCTACAAATACAAGTATCATTTGATACAAACTGACATAAAAACAAAATAATTTGCTTAAGTTTCAGGATCTCTGTACATTACCAGTCACTTATTTTTTAAAAAGAGTTACTATACATGTGGAGGTCACGCACAACTCTGCAGTTAGATAAATATGCTAATGAATGGTTTTGATTATGATCAGCCAGCAGTTAATAAGAACATAAGAAATGTTAAGACAAAAAAGACCAAGGTTCATCTAGTTCGCCTTTCACCTTCCTGGTGGTCACATGCACATGTGTCCCGAACTACCCTATGTACTATATCCCATAATGTTATTTCCTAAAAGAAAACTATCTAATCTTTGTTTGAAAGAATCAACACTCCCTGCTCCAACCTTCTGCCTAGGGAGCCTGTTCTACAGGTTCACTATTCGCTCAATGAAATAGTGTTTGAGTAGATTAGTTCTGAATTTACCCCCCTTCAATCACAGGTTGTGTCCTCT